GCCGACTCCGAACAGCGATTGTATTTTTATGAGAAGCTGTTTTTCATATCAGAAATACACAGAGGTTTGCTATTGCCAGCCGAGGGCTACCGCTTTAGACAACTTTTTGTTTTTTTTTTTTTTTTTTTTTTGTCGGAAACCGGGGTTGAACCCAGACCTTGCGGGGTGGTGGCGTGCACTGCTAACCACTACACCACAGTGGCCGGATTACCTTTCTAATTTCACTGTAAATTGAATTAGAAGTTGATAATTTGTTTTTTGTAGCATTTTGGCACATCTTGGTTATTCGATTTAAAAAATGAGGGGTCAAATTAAAGGGCCTGGCCTGTAAATGTGCAATAACGTTTTTTCTTTGAAAAGGGTTGCGTCCCGTCCAAAATTATTTTTATGTATTGAAACATTATGGCCCATTTTCACCAACAATACACGTTCCCGATTTCCACTGGCATATTTATCTGCTAAGATTATGGTTTGGTGGTTGTCATACGACATATTTCCATTGCCGTCATAAAAATAACACGGTTCAACAAAATTTGGTCGTATTTTATCTCAAAAGCAGGGCTGACCACATCTTATAAGTTTTTTTATACCACGTCCAGTTTTTGAAAAAAAAGAACTCTTGAGCTGTCAAAAAATAGAAGACATGGCAAATTTTAAAAATAAAATGTGAAATTAAAAAAAAACGTCAGCAAACGTCAAAGCTGTGAAGTTGTGTTTGTTTTTGCTCTCATTTAATATCTTATTTTGCAAGAGATTGATTAAAGTGAAAAGTATCAAGAGACGTTTGGTGCACAATTTAAAGTTAAGTAAAATATCAAAATTTCTAGTGAATTTGATAAATTTAATTTAACATTATTAATTATGTGTTCCGAGTCTTTTCTTTCATATAATTATATTGTTGTTATGAATTTATTCTGTTTATCCATAATTACAATTGTGTTTTTTTGTGCACATTTATTTTGCTCTGTTTGTCATTTCTGCTATTTCATCCTTGTCACAGCTGTTTGCTTTGTGTCAAAAATACAGTGTATTTAAACTGTTCGCTACATAGAATTCATGCTAATAATTATCAGCTGATTGTTTTCTTTTGCTACATCGCTTTTAAAACTGTTTGCATTTTTGCCTCAAATATTATATATAAACCTACAAACATATCCAGAGATATCATTTCAAATATGTCGTGTATTTACGCCAATTGTCACGTTAAGAGCGACGCCTATGTGTCATGCTGGCTTTGCGATGGGATTGCCCATATGTTGTTGTTGTTTTAGCGGCACAACCAAGCCCCGCCTATTTCGGGTCAGCATTCAATCATTGTCGTCAAGCTCAACTTACGGGAGGCCCAGGAAACAAGCTGTTTCAATGGGGTCGGACCAGAGGGAGAGGGGTGTTAGTTGAGTCGGATTGAGCTGGCATGTGAAGAGGTGGTTGGTGTCGTAGGGGATTCTTCACATGCCGGGCACTCATTGGGGATATTGGGGTCGAGTCTGGACAGGTAGCTGTTGAGGCGGCTACAGTATCCAGACCGTAATTGAGCCAGGGTAACGCGCGTCTCTCTTGGCAATTGAAGCTCCGTTTCTTCTGCGGGTGGTGATTGGGCTCCGATTACGGCATTCATAGGTCGAGAGTCAAGGTAGGTGGTCACTGACTCTCTATGGATGTCGTTAATAGCTCGTCTGTATGTCTTCGGGTCCAGTGGTTGGTCTAAGTATAGCTGGACTGCGTCCTTGTATACGAATAGGTGCCCCTGACCTGCCTGGGCGGAGGCTCCTCCTGTAGCAGAGGTCTGTTTGGGTGTTCGCTTCGGTGGCACCCCACCAGAAATTGCTTGCAAAGCATTTTGTTGTGTTGCCTAACGGGGAGCACTTGGGCCTCGCTGTGTAGGTGGTGCTCAGGCGTCATCAGGAGGCACCCAGTTGCTGTGCGGCATTCTGACAAGTCTGTAGCTTCGTCCACTGCGTCCAACTAGTAGCCGGTGTCCAAACTGGCGCAGCATAGTTTAGAACCGGCCGGCCAATTGCCTTGTATGTTGCCAGCAACGTTTCTTTGTCTTTGTCCCAAGTGCTGCCGGCGGGCGACTTGAGGACCTTGTTGCGGCTCTGTACTTTATTGACAACTGCGGTTGTGTGCGTGGATTAGGAGAGCAGGCTATCGAAGGTGACCCCTAAAATTTTCGGGTTGTTTATAGTCGGTATTGGTGTGCCATCGACGTGTATACCTAATTCTAGCCTGACCTCCTTCGTCCAGGTGGTGAAGAGGGTCGCCGTTGATTTCGTTGGGGAGAGTGTTAGGCTCCTTGCAGTGAAGAAGCGAGAAAGGCTGGAGAGATAGTAGTTTACTTGTGAGCAGAGGTCATCAATTCCGAACGAACGAAAAATGACACTGAAGATGGCACAACGCCGAAACCGGTTTGTCTCCAAACCAAATTTGACAAGGGATGACGGAAATTCGTTCCATAATACATCATACACCCACCCTGTCGGAAAAAACAACAACAACCAAAAAGGAAAAAAGTCATCAATTCCATTCCCGGACGCCAAATCGAGCAATCGTCAGCGTATGAGATCAGGGAAACTTCCTCAGTTGGCTGGGGAAGCTTCGAGATGTAGAAGTTAAATAATAAGTGAGAGAGAACACCACCTCGTGGAACCCGTTGTTTAATTCTTCTTGGTTTCGAGGTTTGATCTCAGAAGATTACTGACGACTGTCGACCACTCATATAATTCGCCGACCATCGCTTCAGTCCCTGTGGGAGTGAGGAGGCCTCAATGTGTTCTAGCAGCGTGGAATGGCAAACGGTGTCAAACGCCTTTGACAAGTCCTGCGCTACTAGAACTGTTCTCTCACAGGGGCGGTTTCGAATTAGGCCACAAGTTATTTGGGTGTTTATGGCATTAAGTGCTGTTGCTGTGCTGTGCACTTTACGGAATCAACGCTGATGCTTCGCTGGGGTCAGGTGGCAGGTGAAGTATGGGAGTAGCAGGGCCTCTAGTGTCTTCGCGACCGTGGAAAGGAGCGTTATCGGGCGATAAGAGTCTCCTTTGTTGGAGGGCTTCCCCGGTTTCAGCAGTGGGACTACTCTACCTGATTTCCACACACCTGGAATGATGAGAGGGGCCATTGACAGGTTAAGGACCTCCGTTAGGTAAGCTACTCCCGTAGGCCCCAAATATTTCAGCACCAACATACAGATTCCGTCGGGTCCAATGGCTTTGGAAGCTTTCGCCTTCCCGATAGCCCCCTTAACTTCACAGCTGGTGAAAACAAGTGGTGCACTGTTTTTTGGCAGCTTGTTCAGCCTCCTGGTCACTCGACGTTTGGCCCTGTCTACCGAAGGATGCAATGTGAATTGCCTACTGAAGTAGGTTGCGTATTTCTTAGGGTCTGACGAAGTGCGACCTTCGAATGAGATTTCCACTCTGTCATCACGCTTCGTTGGGTAAGACAAGGACCTCACGGCTGACCAGAGCTTACTCACACCAGATGTGAAGTTACAGGACTTCAAGTGCTCCTCCCACTTTTTACACTTGTGCTGATTTACCAGTTGCCGAATATCCAAATTAAGGCCCCTCAGGCGAGGGTCCCCGGGATCGACCTGGCGTAGGTGGTCATGCTCATTTGCTAGTACATCTGCTTCGGCCGGGAAATTTGGGCGGACTTCCGCGATACGTCCGGACGGTATGAAGCGAGCCGCTGCGGCAGTGACTACCCTGCGGAACTGGCGTTCGCCAGCATATACGTTTGTGGGTGTGGGAAGGGCGGCGAAGCTGCTCTCGGTAACTTCCGCGAAGCCGTCCCAATCAGCTTTGTGCCAAATTAAAGGGCTTGACCTTTAGATGTGCAATAAGGTTTTATTTTTTTGAAAAGAGTTCCCACCTGTTAAAAAATTGTATTCAAATTATTTAATAAGGTTAATGAATTATGTACATATTACAATATGTGTATCAATCGAAATGGCTTTGAAAATGCTTTATTTTTAAACTACATGTAGGAGGGTTGCCACCTGTTTAAAAAATTAAT